ACCGAGGGTTGCGATCCCGTTACTGGTCACGAAAAAAGACAAAAAGGAAAAAAAAAAAGCAATTCTAAGGACTAAAACACACGACCTCTTGTTTTCTTTAGCTGTGAAATGGAGACAATATCCACCTACCCACTGAATGGACATTATTGTGGAAATCTAATACAAATTACAAAATGCTTTGACTGTTTAAAAAGAGCTATTAAGCTATCAGCAGTATTAGTATTAAACACACTCTAATTCATCTATTAAAACAGGATGTTTTTTCCTATGATGATTCAGAAAAGTAAAAGATCATACCTCTTCCTTTTTTGGTAGCTTTGGCAGCTGAGGCGGTTTGGAAGCCCTTGGCAATGGTGACTTACTCTGCCTAACAAGAATAGCCCATTTCGAGTTTCTCTGATTGGTGTCCTCGTAATCACTCATATGCCAGGCAATAGTACTACGACTGTATTTTCCTTGCTTATCCAGGATATAAGGTTTTGGTTGCCTGAAATAGGAACAAATTGGTTGGTTCTCAAATGGAAGGGTTTAGGAACAAGGCCAGTTTTCAGATGGTTGAGATTTTTCTTGTGATTTGAGGTGATTTCTAACCATGTGGCTTGAGAAAGCTGAAGACCTGACCCATCAGCCAGCTTTCTGAGAGGTTTCTGAGCTCTCCCCAGTCCACATCACCAGATGTCCAGCTGCTGGAGATGCAAGGAGCTACCCCCAGATGTTCACTTACCTAGGAACCGCATTGGTGAATGCACCCCTGTAACATGATTGCCCCCACGTCCCTTCAGAGCCAAGCATGGAAGATGCTGTGAAGTTAAAGGTGGCATGTGAAGGCTGAGACCTCACAAGACCTGTGCATTCTCCTGAAAACATGGCCTGCCCTGCTTAAGGTCTCATGGGCATTCAGGCAAACACCCACTCTGTGATTCCAAACTCTGGCTCTGGACCAGCGTTTTAGAGGAAAGATCTAGGCTTCTTCCCCTTTGTCTGATATCCTTGGCTGGTTTCCAACAACCATAAATTAGAACGTTATCTCAGCCCTGACTGTCTATTATAAAGGCCCAACTCTGGGGAGCAAGACAGAAAATGGATTGTAAGGGTAAAGATTTGCTATCCCACTTGGAAGGCTGTTGTTACTCCAGAGAGCCTGTTGGGACTTCTTACCCACCATCCCTCATTGACCTGAGCTGCCAGAGCCCCCTGGTGACTGAAAATTTTCCTTTCTAGAGTCTGCGTTCTACAGATTCCCAAGATGCACACTGTCAAGAATTGTGACAGGTCTGCATTACTCTTCCCTCATTCAAGAACATATGATCATTGACTCTATGCCAGGCACAGAAGAGGGCACTGGAGAGACAGCAGTCATAAGACAGTTCCTGTTATCATGAGCTTGGATCCCAATAGGGGAGGCAGACAATAAACAGATAAATAAAACATTTGGGAAGTGCTATGAAGAAAAATAAAGGCACATAAGGAATAGGCAATCCTGGGCATGCTATTTTTGTGAGGGTAGGCAGGAAAGGAGAGGTAATGTTCGAGCAGAGAGCTGAAT